TCCATCTCCACTTTCTTCTGCATATTTGTTGGACGATGGGTTCTAGGTTGGTAGGTTGGTTTGTTGCCAGGCAGGCAGCCAGAGAGCCAGCCAACCAGCCAGAGTTACATGTTGCTTATTCTTATTATTCTGGCCATTCATCTGATCTTCATTCAGTATCGAGTGAGTGTAGGCGGCAGCTGGTGATGAATGTCTGTAGTTTGTTGGAAAAGCTTTTCGTAACGCACCGAATCTCTGAACCATCACATAGAAGCACTGACTTACTTGACTGAATCAGTGTTGAAAATCAGGATGTTGTTCACGCTTTATGCTGTGTAGTGGAGTGCAGTAGATCTCCACACTGATTTCAAATTGATGAAGGCCTGTCTTGTTGTCTTCCCGACCCCTGCTCTGACGTCCTCTCATGTGTGTCTCCCTCCACCTGTAGTTGAAACGATGCTGCCTAGACTAGGTGGGTAGGTGAGAGAGACAACTTCCTTCAAATTTCTCTTGTTGATGGTGACTGATGCTTCTTGTTGTTGTTGTTGTTGTTGATTGTGTATCTTCATCACCTCTGTCTTCTCTATGTTCCCCAGAAGGAATTCCCGTCTTCTTTCGTCACCTCACCTCGCCTCCTCTGACTACTTGTTAGTTTTCGCCTGTAGATCTTCGAGTTTGTGCGACAACACATTAGACATAAACCATCGCCAACGAAATCCAAATCTTCTTCTGGTGTCTTTTCATCGGTCAAACAACTCATGCTCGTCTTCTCACTCTCCACAGTTGTCTGTTGCATGATCCAGTTCAGTTCAGTCCAGTCCAGTCCAGTCCAGTCCATTCCAGTTGAGTTGAGTCGACCACAATCAGGAAGATCATCGGTGATAGTTGCGGCAGCTTTGTCTTACTCCTGTCTTCACTTCAAAGACATCCCTGAGCTTTCCATTGTGAGCCACACTTGGCATGTAGCATCATATAGCATAGCATGTGGCTGTTGAATGAGATTGCTAAAGGTTTGTGGCACTAAAACTGTAGTGTTGAAGCAGATGCCTGTCAACTTACTTGTCGGTCGACGCTATTGAAGGCCTTTTCAAAGTCGATGAAGTTGAGGTTGAGTTGAGTTGACTGCTATTCTACGCATCCACTTATATTCCATCTTCGTTCGCAGATCCCTAGCACTTCCATGCTATGCCTTCTCATCTATTTGGCAATCTGGGCAGCCTTGCCAGGCAGCATGGAACATTGTTCGGATATTCCATGTCCCCATTCTTACTTTTGCTTTCATTGAGAGAGGGTAAATCGGTCAATTGGCTTCCGGAAGGCTTTCACCAACTGGTATCATTTCGCCTCCCCGATTCCAGCGAGGAATAAGTTTGTTTTTATTTTTAATATTTTCTTTGTGCTTTCAAGTTTCTTTAGCGGTTAGGTTGGTTTTACGGGGTAGGGTTGCTAACCCTATGCCCAACCTTCCCTGTTTATCCAGGCTTAGGACCGACCGGCTCGTAACTAGTGAACTAGTTACTTAGGGAGGTTATGCATACATATAGGCTGACTTATTATTGCACACCTATTTTTAATGACAGATATTTATGACTGAATAATAGCAGGTTACTTTTTATCTATTTTTCTTTCAAGCAGTAAAAAAATTTTAGTGAATGACATCGGTTGTGATTTTCCAAGTATACGGTAACGAAATGAATGCTACTGATTGTAGATTCATGCCTGCATCTCATTATTGTTTAAAACAGTGTAATTAAATATTCGGTCATCTCTCGTGTTTAGTGAATATCTTTGTATGACCATTATACGAAGATGATCATTTTTGCTTGCCTTTATCCTTGTTAGTGCTGAGGTACATGTGAGAATAACGTTTTTCTTGCTGAGTGAGAAAAATTCCATTCTAATAGTTCTGACTGATAGTTGTTTTTCAGTTTGTATAATTCCTTTTTCTTTGAATTTTGAATCCACTGTTTATTTCATTCTATCTCGAATGACGTAGTTTACGATTTTGCTTTCGGTGCTTGGATTGAAATAATGATTCCCCGCCTATTTTTGCTAAGACTTACGTCACCCTTCTTTTCGAATGCAGTGATATTGTAGCCCTTCCTCCGGTCGATTAGCAGGTATCATTCCTTCCTTCCTTTCCAACCGTCTGCATTAGTGGTGTCGTGTGAGAATGTCCGCTGCGCTCCTGTCTGTTCCTGTTGACAGTGCTTCTGGTGGAATTCCATATGGTCTTTCTGCTTTTTCACATTTCAGCATGTTTATGGCATTCAGAACTTGACTTCTGCTTTTGTCGGAGGTTTTGTGTTCACTGGTATTTCTGTGGCTGGCTCGCTGGTGGTATTGCTGGACGATTTGCACAGTGTGATGGGGGTGGTCTATATATATATATATATCAACAAATGCTATTATGGTTACAGACAATGGTTCGGTTTGCACTGCTTTTGATTGTTTGATTGTTTCGTTTAAGTGTTTGAAGTTTATTCATAGTGAATTAGTAAATATCACCAGTTGTCAATAAGAATTTCCTCTCTACCCTTACGAACACATACACAAAACATAATGACTGATCACCTGAATTTTGCAAACGTTTCTTGAATTTCTGTTGCTACTCTAGCTTTTAGTTTTTTTGTCACTGAGTCATGAACTGGTAATTAACTTCCTTTAACACAAAAGTATGAAATTTCGACGTGGTTAAATTAGTTAAGTATGACAAGATTTTACAGAAGCACATGTGTACTCAAACTTTATTTTTCAGGTAAGAAAAATTTCATTATCTTCCTTTGTAGAATCATTTTCACTTTCATAGAATCGTGAAACTGTATGCAATTATAACTTTTGTTTTACAACGTTTTCCTGATATAGTTACTCTGTTTGAACATAAATCAAAAGAAGTTCCGCAGTATTATCCTTCCGCTGCATGTGACACAGTTAACTGACTTTTATGTAGCGGGTATGTGCCTGTAATCAATCATATTCTTACACTTTTTCCTAATCTCGGCATTGGGTTTTCAAAGGAAGGTAAAAATCAGTTACTAGTGGATTAATTTTCCAAAATAATCTACAGAAAACTGACTTTAACTATGCAACCAATTTTGTGTACCCTGATAATTTGAAGAAGTCTCAGCCGTGTCAGACAGCCTTGTTAACTTAATCACAGTATGACATTTTAGGGCGCGTTACAAGAACAAACAAATTTCAACCTTATTTAAGCACCTGTACTCGGTTATTCCATTCAGACCTATCGTATTTTGTCGATATCACACACATGACTAAAACTGTCATATCAAGGGATCTCTGCTTTCTCATTAATTAGTGAAAAGTCTCCAGTATTTTATGATTCCAAATGTCCAGAACCATAAATAAACAAAGCTTCTATGCTGATACCACATATAGTAGATTGAGCTATACGCTTTACGTAAAGCACTCATTAAGGTGAATGTTTATGTAGAAGTAGGAATTAAGGCATATTCTTACTTAAATGTCTATTGAAACTTTTTGAGGCAATGTACTATGACAGATTTGGTTCACACAATAATTTCTTTTTATTCAAGTTCTACTACTTATTTCTGTTTCGACACTCAAAGCACTTCACAATGTTTATTTCTCCAGAACTACATTATAAGCAATAAAAGTAACCCGGCAGTCCGAATGAAGTGAACTCAATAAAAATGTATTTCAGATTTATCAGAAAACTGTGATAATCAGAGAAGTAGGTGAAAATGGACAGTAATGCACAAATTAAATGTTACTGACCACTAGAGGAGGAACCGGTAAGTAATAGACCATAGAGCCTATCATTAAGTTTCTTAAAACTGGGCTGACAAGGAAACTGACAGACAGGTAAAGGAAAATAACTTCTACAAATAGATTCAAAACTTCTAGACTGATTCAAAATGTTCGTCATGAGAGCTTGGCATCCTCTACTAGACATAAAAAGTGGAGATTTTTGATCTTTTGCCTCCCATATCAAGAATGATATAACAATGTATTATCCTTTAGGACTGTTCCACAGGACTTATTATCGACACTTTTTCAGAGGAATAAAAGTGGGGCTTGGAAAATCTGAAAGGTAATAAAACATTTTCTTTTTATGTACACCGGTTCTCAAACGAATTATCGAATTTCGTTAAAGTGAAGTACTTCAATTTTTAATAAATAAATCCAACTAAAAATAAGTCACACTTATTTTATCTTTTGTCTGAAATAGTTGCGTTCAGATTATTTAGAAAAATACTTACGAGGGGAGCAAAAAGTAATACTGGTATTTTGCATACGCTTAATTCAAATTTGTGCACACTTTAATTGCATCGAGTTTAACAAAAATCCAATCAGGTTTTTAAGAAAAGAATTGAGTTGGACATTGCTACCCTTGCACAGTTGTCATGTTAAGAAAGGCATAGATGCACATGCAGATGCACATATTTGAAATGAAATACTCTAGTCCACTTTAGTAACAAAAACACTGCACTAATTGTTTGAATACTTAAAGAGAGTAAATCACAGATAATCGGTTGACTTCATCTTTTCAAAAAGCGAAGAGACCCTGCAGAAAACTCATTAAAAGTTATATAAGAAATGCCAGAAGGTCGTAGTAAAAGCCTGAGTTTCAGTCAAGTGCATGAACGAAATGGATTAAGCACACTCTCCTTAAACCAAATGAAAATCGACAAGAAAACCAAGCAGTCTGTTTATTACATATGTCATGTTTGCTTACTGCATCGCAAAGAGGTCAGTGCGGTTGATGATATCAATCAGGAGAAGGCAGAAGACCTAATCCAGAGATATTTCAAAAAACGTGTAGCTCATTGTAATCTATTTTGTTTACAAGATCAAATACGATTTGAAAATCTAAACAATGCGGATCCAATCCACCAAGGAAATTTATTTTATACAAACACATTAAATTTATACATTTATCTGAAAATGTACCTCACACATTCGTGTTATGCACAGAGTTGGAAAAGGCAAATCGAAAATTTTATGAAATCTACAAGTGCAAACTATCACAGGATGCTAAGATGCTAACAATACTTATACAGAAAGCCTTAAATGATACAGAATTCTTGTTAAGAGAAGATTTTAAATACCCAAAAATTTCAGTTGGTTCTCAGTGTAGTTTATTTCATAATAACACCAATGACGATGATTATAGTAGCTCAGAGAATTATATACACAATCCTAGACAGCAATTAGTGTTACCATTTGGTGTATCATCACTATCAAGAAGCAAAGTTGTTGGACTCACCTCGAACGTTTACATAGAACACTCAAACAAACTGACTCAAAAGAAACATGCAAATCAAGAAGCACTTGCCGATCATTCTCTTCAGTCGACGGATTTACTAGCGAACTTGAATAGGGCATTTAATATAAACAATGAGCATGGTGACGATGATGCTTGGCATATGTCAATGACACTACTGCAGACAGATCTTGTAAAAGGCCCAAGAATCAATGACTCCGGTCCTATATACATGTTTGTAGCAAGACAACTGAAGTAATAACTAGACATTAGGTGAAAAAATACATAGGAAGAGGAAGTAAGTATTGAAGTTTTCTTGGCTAGTTTATTGAAAGCCTTTTTTCAAGAATACGTAGAGATGAGAAGGTAGTTTATTCTGAAAGAGTAATATGGTACTTTTTTCTGGCCCTGCCAGTATTGTTATTTAGCCCTTTTTTGAACAGACGGTTTTTTGTTTTGTAATGCATCTACTAGCTCTGAATTTTGGTTTTCATCAAAACTGCAAACACCTTTTGAAATACTGGAGTTCGGTGGCGTTGAATATCTTTATTCTACTCTCTATTAAATCCTAATTTAATTATATGTGGTCGTAATTTGTGTACCTTAATAATTCAGTAACAGTTATTGTAATTGGAAAATTAATAAACTACCGACTTCAGTGAAATTCTACTAATGTAGCTCAAATTTAGATTTCTTTTCATTGGAAAATTCTACTATTTTGATCTTCTCATAAGTTCATGTAAGGAATGACTAATATAATTTTCAAATCATACTTTTTAAATAATTTAAACACCGTTTAACTCCATGTTTCTGTGAAATACAATAAAGCTAATACGAAAATTTTCAGTGTTATTTCTAGCTAAATTTCCTTAGTAATAATATTCTTCTTGCTACTGACTAATGAAGTGAATACTGATTATGAACACAAAGTTAGTGAGTTAACGTCAGCCTACATTTACAGAAATTACGTAACTTTTCAGCAAATGATTCCTTTTAGCACTTGTAAATTTATGTATACGATATTGACGTCGAGATTAATCAGTGTGCTTCAAATATAAATTAATATGCATAAAATGTCCCAAATAAGATGATACAACTGCGTTTTACTTACAAATCGCTATTTTCAAATCTTAAGGGTAATCTGATAAGTGAAGAAAGTCGCAATCACTAAAGATATGCAGATACAAGTGTCTAGGTAAACCCTAATAAATGCACTCTACGCAAGCATATAATCCGTAATGCCCGTAAAACTGTTCACTTAAAAATAAGGACAACCCTCAGCTATGGTTCACTGAATGAGTTCAGCCTCTGCATGTATAACTTGAAGAAGTTGAATGTTGATATACTTCCTTGCTCTTAGCTGCTCACCATGAAAATAAACAAATGTGTATGTTTTCTATTGATATACATCATCCAAACTTTGCGTTCCCGTGCTTTGTAACAAAAGTTTTATAGTTTATTTTATGAATAAATAATAAAAATCATGTCAGGCGTTCGCACTACACACAGTGTTTGGTGAAATTGACATATTTAGTTGACACTTAGTTGTGAGACTTCACTATGGTCCCATTCGGATCTTCAGAACCATGAAATAATGTCAGAATTGTAGTTATTTAGGACATACCACATTCACGAGTAGAATGAGTAGTTTACCACTTGTGTGTCCTATTAGTGCTTTCTAATCAGGTTGTTCTCAAAAGGTACGATTTGTTTAGGTCTCTTGAATTCTTACTAGTACATCACATTAGCTTTGGTAACATGCATCACATAGCTTCCAAATCTACAGTCTTGATATTATTTTACAAAGTCACGCTGACTACACTTTATGGCTTGATCATCAAGATATCTTCTGGAAGTAGGGATGAATTTTCACAAGTGAGTGTTACTGAAATCTTTCATTCTGTAAGTTGCAGCGGCCTGATGTTATTTCATTTATTACTCGTCTACTCAAACAGTTAGTATAAATTCAGGTGGTTTAAGCAGTTTATCTGTCTGAGGCTATTTATTCCACCTATACTACTGATGAGATTCGTTTCAAGTGAATGAATGACTATCTAGGTCTTAGACCAACGGAGTCTAACTAGTGAGCATCACTTTACTCATCTGAGTTAGCGACCCGCCACCACTGAAGTCATTCACTACCGTTAACTTTATATTTATTTAGCTGATACGCACTAGAAGAGTTATGCATATTGGGTTTAAAACTAAGAGGTGTTGTTATTTGATTGACAATTTTTACAAGAATAATGACGTGTTTGTAAAATGGTCAAATAAATATACCAAATATATCAGATTACAAAAAAATGAAGAGCTATCAGTAAAACCATAAAGTTGTATTATTTTTGCTCGTTGTGTACCGCATACAATTTTATGTATGCTGCTGTTTCATGTAGACACATAAGTTACTTGAAGGGTATACAATCCACTGAAAGCATAATTTAGTGTCTGTGGGTGAATTCTCACCACTGCTTCAAGTCTTAAAAGACAAGCTATTCAATTACGGAGAGCACTTTGTGTCATGTGACTGACAAAAATGAAGCTACTACTTACATAAACAGTGTTGGAGGTGTTCAGTGAATGGGCAATGTGAATTTTAGTCAGTTTTCTGGTCCTAGCTAACCTATGAAGCATGAATCATAAGGTTGTAGTAAACAACTAACTTTATCTTGTATAAAATCTACGAAACTTTAAGAAGCCATTTCACTCATGTATACATAGAACAAGTTCAGCTACTGAATTTTATATTTTGTCTATGGTAAAGAACAACAAACATCTCTTTGACTGAGATCAAGAATGTGGCTGTTAGAGACGGTAAGAAGTGGTCTGTGGATCCAATAAAATTCAATCAGATTTGTGGATACCTTAAGCCAGATCTAAGTGTACTACGAGAATAATTAGGTCCCTAAGTAGCCCAAATTTGCACTGAAAAGTGAAGGTTGAAGAAATATGTTGTAGATATTAGCAGTAAGAGACAGTAAACAAGTATTTTGTTGCATTACAGAGACTGATGGGGGAATATCGGTGGTAAGTGGTGGTCGGTCAGTATTTTCTCACACGACAACTAGAATTATCAAAAGAACACTGAGGAATAATGAGGAATAATTCGACCAATATACAATAATCTCCAAAAACTACTTTTAATACATACTTTGCTAGACAAATCTACAGTCTCGTGGTTTCCAGTTAAGAAACGTTACTGCTGTATACGGAAATTATCTGAGGTCTGCCAATTTATGGAAATTGTTTTAGTGGAAAACCTGATACTGATTTATAATTTTCAGCTCTAAGTGTAGCTGAAAAACCTGCAGATAAAGTGAATCAAGGAAGATGGAGAAGCTTTTTTGAGCGACAATCACAGCTTTCTAGTAATGACAACTCAAATTCATAATTTTGACTAACTTAGGTATTAGGTGAGATCTGGAAGTCAAACGGGAAGAAGTTTCCTTGCTTTTCGCCTACAAGTAATATTACAATTAAGGACGACTGTTTAAGATGAAAGTGTTTCCACGGGTCTTAACATACATAGACACTTAATGCCTATGCTACACTTAGGGAGAGCGAGTATCGAGTATTTTCATGGATATATTGACTAGATTTCTAATTTTCAGTGGATTTTGGAATAAAAACAAACATGTGTACACCAATTAGTGATGCATAAGCACTATTTGACTATGCTGGTCAGGACCTGTTACATAAATATTTCTAACTGTCAAGTGACAGTGGCAACAAATCAAAGGGTGTCCTAACGAATACTCTTAGGTGTTCTGTAGGTTCTTGAAAGATTACTCCCGAAATGGACGCAACATGTGGCTTTCATTGGGATATTCAGTTCTCTCTGTTTTCATTATAGATACACTTATGTAGGTATACCTAAGCGTACTCTACTGAATGTATGGGTATTTAGCACTGCGAAAATTTCTTATTGAACGTCCATTACTTAAAATAAATGTTTTTCTCAGTTGAAGGTTATAAACTAGCTCACAGTCATCTAAGTGATAGACTGAGGATCTTTGGGGTGTAGTTATCATCTTCAAACTGTAAATATTTTTTTCTGAACCGATCTAAATCTCTGAAAATCCTTGCAACAGTGAGAACAGGGAGTGGTTGTATTAACCTTTAAGTTTACGGAAATAACCTTGTCAGCCTATTAAATAAAAAGCTGAGATAGCTTTGTCACTTGTGCTCCTCATGACAACTGGAGAGTGTTGACACATCCGTGAATACACTGTACAGTATTATGGTCCCTCACATTATTTGGGTGTGACGAATAGATACTGTTAATAGAATATTGAAAATTATGCAGGGTTTTCATAACCCCTTTTTATATAATCTTTTGCATATACTTGAACAGTTTATGAGCATAAGGTGTCGGACAGTGAGCTTGTGTCATTTGATGAGATTATGAAGCTTCATCAGCTTATTTTGTTCGGTCATCTTCTATGCATCCTGGATCCTTGTTATACTTTCCAAGTTTTATACTGAATGAATATGAAAGTGACTTAGGATGACTAGATCAAGATAGGTAGTCAAAGGATGAAGTATTTGCCCCATAAAACATGTCATTTATTAATGCTTAAACTTCTTGATTGACCTTTAAGAGAAGAAATGGGATAAACATTTGTGATTCTGAGCAGTATGGTAGGAAGTTATCACTAGAATCTCAGGTTCAAACACACTGTATCTTCAGTTAAAGTGTCTTTGTTTCATTGTTCTCTTTTCACAGCAGCTAATAGTGGTTGTCTCACTATCCGTTCTTCTATGTTTCCATTTTCATCAGTAATGAACTTACCCATTTGAAACATGATAATTTGGAGAGACTCAATTACGCCAGGTTCTGTGTTTCACATATGTGCCTCGCCAGTCTAATCACTGGTGCACAAGAAAGGTATTATGAAGGTGCTTAGAAGAGGTGAAATGGAGACAGTTGGGTTTAGCAAGATTTTGTTATAAAGTGGTATGTAAAATGAATTACTGAACTCTCTCAAAGTATTTATTTACGGGATTTAATATTGTGTGAGTAATTATTATCGTTCTGAGTCCAAGCTTATTTATGCATCGTACCTAATCATCTAATAACAACAAACGGAACAACTTATCAGTAGAAAACCAGCGTTATCCTATGATACAAAATAGTTAACATGCAACTGAAAGTAACTGAATTACTTTTACACATCAACATATGCAAACTGTTATTCAGTGAAGACCATAGACTTCAAAACAAGTTAGAGTAAGTCTTCTCTACTTTCTGGCTAGATCATC